ATGACCTCCAGCGGTGCCAATATGTAACAGAAAAAGTAAGTGTGCTACCACAAATCATATCATGTTCCCAGACCACAGTGATGGGAAAGCTCTTCAATTACAGTCTATTTTTATTATTTATTATTTTATTCATTCATATTCCACTTCCCCCCCCCAAAAAAAAGTGATTCAAGGTTGCTAATAATGATTTATTTCAAACAATACAAATTAAACAGAATACAAAAACATTAATAAAAGTATAAATAGAAGATTTAAAAAACAAACAATTGATAAAGTTAAAACATTAAAAATATTAACATTCATTAAAATACCATATGCAAATCTGAAAACCTATATATGAACTTTATTTTTAAACTTCAAGGCTTGTTATTGCAAATGATTCCACTGTTTCTGGACTGTTTAGAATATAGGATAGATTTTAAATACCATGGGTGCATGACCAAGATCTCATTTGCACCTCAGGTAGATTTTTCTCCAGCTCAATTTCCTGCCATTTTAGTGTTCTTGTTGTTGTTGTGTGCCTCCAAGTCATTTTTGACTTAAGGTGATCCTAAGGTGAACTTATCGTAGGATTTTATTGTCAAGTTCTCTCAGAGGTGGTTTGCCATCGCTATCCTCTGAGGCTGAAAGAGTGTAACTTGCCCAATGGGTTTTTAATGCTAGAGTGGGATATCAAACCCTGATCTCCAGAGTTTTAGTCCAGTACTCAAACTACTACACCACACTGGCCATTTTAATACCAACAGCATTTTCTCTGCTGCCGCCAAAGGAAAGGCTGTAATATATTCTGAGAATGGAGGTGTTGAAGAGACAAGTCTTTTCACTTTTCCCCAATAAAGACTGTGTGCGCATTTGTTTGTGCTTGTGTGTACATGTACACATAAGTGTTAGGCATGTGATTGCCAGTTCTTGAGCCTGCATCACATGGGGTCCTTGGGGACACAAACGGTTGTGCACCTCTGATTTAAACTAACACTGGTTGCCTAGTTTACTTAAAAATGTGTTGCCTTGCCTCTCCAGAGCTCATGGCAGCTTGAAATAATTGCCTCTTCTTGCAGTGTAAATCACATCCAAAACATCAGCTTTCTGGATGACTGCACTTTCTGCCAGGTGATAGCTAGCAGGAGTTTCCATAGCAAGAAAAGACATTTTTTATTCTTAGTGAAAAACTTGATATCAGGTAGAGAACAAAGGGTGAATTCAAGGAAGATGGACACTTATGTCACCTTTCTGTTTTAGAAGGCTATAATGGTGTCCATGGCAGGTCAAAATCATATGTATGCTTTGATACCACCATGTGTTTTCCATTTTACCAGATATGTGCCCAGCAGTGAGCTGGAGTTGGATGATCAGTGTCTTTCTCATGTGCTGCAATACCTCTCTTATTGAGATGAGAAAAATGTGGGTGCAGAGCACTCCTTTGTTGCATTGTTACTCTGCCTGTGACTTAAACACTTTTAGGTAGGAAAGCCTTCAAAGATATCCAAAAACATCCAAAAGGATTTGCTGTATGGCCAACACGGCTACCCCTAGATGTTCCTTTAGAAATATGTTGGGTACAATTTTGAAGAACTTTAAATAGGTCCTTTCTCTGCTTCAAGTGCTTTACATGTTGTATGTGGAAAAATAAATTGTGTTTGGAATATTTTTTGCAATAAAGAAGTGACTCACAATTTTTATAAGTTAATACACATACTGTAGTTATGCTGCTCTAATGTAAATGCGGTGCAAATTCCATGCACTGTGTGCTTCGAAGCAGTTTTCACATTGGAAATCAAAGAGTATGAAGTGATTCTGCATAATCAATTTTTATAGTGAAAAGAGTATATGCTGAAGGTGCATTCTTAGGTATTTGTCTCAAAATGACTCTGTTGCCCTTCTGTGCAAAAGTGGTTAATAGGTAACACAGATGAATAAAACATAGCAATAGCAAAAACAAAACAAAATTGATAAGTTAAAAAATCAGATAGCAATAACCCTGTTAGCAGAAATATGTAGAGAACTAAGAACATAAAAACGTTACATTGGATCTGATCAAAGTCTAATCTAGTCCAGCATTCTGTTCACACAAAGGTCAACCAATTGCCCATGGAAATCCCATAAGCAGGAATGAGTGCAGCCACACCCTCCAGTATATGTTCCCCAGAGACTGATACAGTGTAAAGATCTGAGCATTGGGCTATGTTTCTAGAGGCCAGGGTTTGGATCCCTGTTCAACCATCAAAACCCATTGGGTGACCTTGGGCAAATCACTCTCAGTAAAAGACAAAGGCAACACCCCCTCTGAACAAACTTTGCGCAGAAAACTCTGTGATATGTTTGTCTTAGGGATGAAATGACTTGAACGCACAACTAGAAAATGATATAAAGAGATGTGCTACCTCTGGTAGTGGAGATGATACAGATCCACCATGAGCTATAGCCAATGATAGCCTTTTCCTCCATGGGAACAATCTTGACAGTATGATGATAGACCTGTAATATAGCAATTAGATTAATATCTTGGGAAGGAGTTCTGTTCTTACCTCAATTACAAGTGTACTTGAGGAATTTATGGCCGTCCAGATGACGATTCCAATTCCCATCATTCTTCCCCATTGGTTATGTTAATTAGGGCTGATGGGAGTTGAGGTCCAGCAACATTTGGAGGCCACAAGTCCCCACCTTGGCCTAATATTCCAATGCCATGGTCTCACTATAAGGAGGAAAGCTTCCCCATACATACAGCAGAACAGTCCCGAGTCCATGATCCTGTGCATTCTTACCTGACATTAAACACCTTTGATAAAACTAGGCTCATTTCTCAGCAAACATACATAGGATGGTGTTGCAAAAATTTCACTCAAAACCCTCCTTGTGTCCTAGGTGCTGGCTGCTGTTTATAAGGCTCTGAATGATCACCATGTCTATCTGGAGGGGACCCTGCTGAAGCCCAACATGGTCACTGCTGGACATGCCTGCACCAAGAAGTACACCCCTGAAGAAGTGGCCATGGCGACAGTTACGGCTCTCCTCCGCACTGTCCCTGCTGCTGTTCCTGGTAATTCATCAGTCCTTGCCATGTTGCTATATAATTTGTGTTTACTTCCCTGCATTTACATGTCTCCATTCAGATGCTCATGGCTCAGCTTGATCTAGTTCAGGCAGTTTCATTTAAGGATGTATTTCCCTACTTGCATCCATTCTGTGTCATGTTTCTGATTTACCAATACATGTTCCAATAATATTTGGTTTTGAACTAAATGTCTGATGTCATAATTTTTGCTGATAGCCCAAGAAAAATAGGATGTTACTAATTCTGAAATTTCTATCTGTGGTTGAAGCTGTAATTATCTCAGCCACATGCGAAAACATCTGTTTCTCACTCCTTACCAGTTTCAATTTACAGATTGAGAATCCTTTATCTGAAATGCTTGGGACCAGAGTGTTTCGACTTTGTTTTTGAAAGTTGGAATATTTGCTTATACATAATGAGATATTTTTGAGATGGGACCCAAGTCTGAACACTAAATTCTTTTATGTTTTATATACATCTTATACACATAGCCTGAAGGTAATTGTATACAATATTTTAAATACTTTTGCACACGAAACTAGGGCCTTTACAGATTGCCAGAAATAGTGCAAATTGAGGCCACTTTA